TTCTATTGCACAAAGTCCTGTGTAGACTTGCAAGCAGTTTGATGTTAGAGTTGGGGGGTGTCTTGTGATGACTTGGTTCTTCTGCACTTGGTTCTTCTGGTGGAGTGGTGTTTTAAGAGTCTGTTCTAATACCTACCGGTCACTTCTCAGTCCGTATTCCTCCTGTGTCCTGCTGATCGAGTGTCAGCTGTGTGTGGACTTCACCATACTTTGTGTCCATTTTTATGTCTTGGGTTCATAACGGGTGTATGTATTTGCAGCGTCTGTGAAAGACATGCCCCTTCACTGCTATGCCATATGAACAAAGATCTATCTGCTCAACACCTGTAGCTTATTTCCAGCTTCATTATGGCCCAGCCAACCCTTGGCTAGTCAGTGTTTCAGCTGGTGCTGTAAAAATCCACAGGTCTATAACCTGGGGACTGCTGATATTCCCACATTGCCACAAGGAGGCTACACAGAGCTAGCTACAAGGAGCACTGTAGAATTAGGTCCCTCAGGAAGTACCACCCAAAGGGTTGAGAGAGACAGCAGCCTGCAGCCTTCTAATTGGCCCATACATGCTGTTTAACCCTGCACAGTGCTCCAGGAAGCTGTTTGGGCCATCGTACAGATCATTGGCCTGCTGTGACTCCAGAGTTCACCTTGTTTTCTGATCGCCGGTCTCTGACCCCAGCCTGACTCTGATCCTGACTCTTGCGTCCTGATTTGAGCATGGTAACCATCTCTGGTTTCTGACCCTGACCCGTACCTGTTGATCCTGGCTCTAGTAATTACTCTGATCCCCGCCACTACTGCCTTGTGGCTACCCTTAACTATTTGTGGACACTGGCCCAGCTGTGACTGCTAGGCCAGACCACACCACCTATATCCCGATCCCTTACAAGGGCCAGTTAAGTTGGTGCTTTTGTGATAGGAACTAGGAAATAGGCTGAGACTGCTAATTCATTTCACATGGGCCACCAAAAAGCTGCTAGAGAGGTCATATGACTTGCTCAGTGTCACCCACCAAATCAGTGCCAGACTGGAAATAGAACCAGGAGTCTAGAAGCCCAATTATCAGTTGGTGTTAATGAGTGCATCTCTGTGGACTTCAGTGAAGTTTTGCCCATTTGCCCCAGCAAAGAATTTGGAGTTTGACTCCTTGTCTCCTACTCCATGCATTTCCCAACATCCCCCTATTAGACCAGACGGCACCATTGGTCTTTGTTTTCTGGCCAAGCTTAGACACTGGGAGCATGAAACACTAGCAATGCTAGTGAAAAGGGTGTTGTAAAAGCATAGCATAGAGACCCCCAAGTCCCTGTGCCCTGAAACATTTTGTAACAACCTGTAAAATGAAATGACAGAGAATTTCCACCAAGTCATCTAGATTTCATTTCATTAGACCCTGGAAAAAACCACAAAGGACCACGCTGGGTCTGAACTCACTCAAGAGCAGATGAATAAGACACATAGGCAATCATTTCAAATTATTTTTATCTAATGGATGTGAGAGGGCAGAGCCTCCTGGGAAATTTTTCCCAACATGCTTCTCGGGCAGTGCGGTAACAAAAGCAGTGTGCAAAAAGACGTACTGGGGAAAATACCAGTAACCTTAATGTATAAGGTCTGTTGCTTTATATAAGTCCAAGTCCTTTGTTCCACCTGCCCTTGTTACGGAGATTAGTCTGGAAATCAATTGTTCTCCATGTCCACTGCAGGTAGAACAAGACATAATGGCCCTAATCTGCAGCAAGGGAGACCTAGGTTAGATATTAAGAAAAGCTTTCTAACTCTCAGGGTAGTTAAGCTTTGGAATAAGCTTCCAAGGGAGGTTGTGGAATCTCTGACATTGGAGTGTTAAGAACAGGTTGGACAAACACCTGTCAGGGATGGTCTAGGCTTATTTGGTCCTGCGTCAGCGCAGAGGGCTGGACTAGATGATATCTTGAGGTCCCTTCCAGCCCTACATTTCTATGATTCTGATTGTGGGAAGGTAAATGAGAGATGTGAAGGTCAATGAAGGCAACAGTGGCTTTGTACAATGAAGGATACAGAGTGTTATGAAATATTGTTTTTCAGGCTTGGATAGGTCAGAATTCAAAGCCAATCTATGCATTTGAAGGTGGTGCTGATACAGGCACTATCAAACAGATATAGTTTGACCAGAAATTTTACCCAAATGCCCCTGTGTTGAGCCCAATGACTTTAGTTAAACTAAAACTTTTTAATCCTTGGGAAATGAAACGGTGGTGTGCCCAGAGACGAAAGCATCACCAATGCCTGTGATTCTTGCAGTGGAAGGAACTGATTAGGTGAGACATGCCTAGCTGTTCCCAGTAGGTTATCAACACCCCATGCTGCAGAGGAAGGTGGAAATGTGAAGCATGGCTTCTACTAACAATAATATTGTAATCATGCCTAGAGGACTCAATCAGGACTTAGGCACTGGTTGCACACTGAGGACAAAGACAAAGAGGCAATGCTCAGTATTTAACTTTAATCCTTTTTTCCCCTTCCAGAAATAAATGGTAACAGACAGAGAACAAGTAATGTGAAGGCTCATGAAGAATGCATCCACAGTAGTTAGTAGAGATGGGCCCAAGCTGTGGAGTTCAGTAACCAGAGCAGAATCTAAATCTCCCCAAGGTTTAGGTGGTCTTTGCAGTTGATGGCCCAGCCCAGCCCAGCCCAGCAAGAGCTGAAGTCTGGGTCTGAATCTAAATTCCAACTTCCCCCATGCTCAAAGGGTGTTCAGATCTGAAATTGCACACACTCAAAATACACCTCTTCACTTGTAAGTCCCTGCAGCGTGTGCAAAGTACGCAGCTTCCTGCACTGCAGTTACCTTTTGTCTGCCCAACTCCATTACAGGGGCCAGTGACTATGCTGGACGGGCTGGAACGAAGCATGGGGCAAACCAATATTTTGCTGTGCAACATGCCACTCCACTAAGAAATCCTTTTGCTTTGCTAGGGTGTTCGCCTCATTTCAGATCCCTCAGGCAGACTTTCCCCATGGCCCCAAAATGGTGAGGAAGAGAAACTATAAGGTGTTGGCCCTACTGAGGTAGAGACAATTCCAAATGGAAAAAGAGGAAAGATGCCACAGGACTGTTTGATTATGCACTGATTATTAGAGCAAGGGGTACACACTGATTCTATAAAAGGGCCAGACTTAACGGAATGAGAGCGACACTTCTTTCCACTGAGAATAATCAAGCCATGGAGCAGATGCTTTAAGTCAGCCAGGGAGCACATGGTGTATGTCAATGTATCTTCATAGAAAGGAGTTAGAAATTATTGACATGATTGAAATACTGCTTGGTACGACGGCTAGCTGCACTCGTGGTAGAGGAGCCAACATTGGTTTCCTGATGATTTTCTGTGTTCTTGGTATAAAGACAATTGTAATCTGCATAACTAGATTCTGGTATGGCTTTGTGAAGTACTTTTGGAGATTAGAATTCCTCTTTCTCTTTTGCACTTTCTCTTCTTCTTGCCCATTCTGCCACTCTCTGCTTTCTCCCATCAATATTTCATAGTTTTATCTATTATCTGCTGAATTTTTGCTTCCTTTTTATATATAGTAGGTTTCAAGCCTAGATTTTCATAAGCAAATGCACCATGCCATGGGTACATAGGGCATTATATTAATAACACATAATAAATATTATTGCTATGCTGGGGTTTGGTTGAAATTGTTGGGTGTGTTAGCAAGCTTCCGTTCAGGCTAAACCAGGGAACAAATGTCCCTTTGTTTGGTGGTAGAAGAAACAATGGAAAACCAACACCCAATCACTAGACTGCTTGCTACCCTGGGCAGTGGCTGGGCCATGTGGGCCAAGGGCTTTCTCATGGATCTGAGAACAAACACAGAGTTGGCGATTACTTGGATTGCAGTTGTGTGTGAGAGAGAAGCAGCAGAAATACCAGTGGAGCAGACAGAGGAGGAAGCCAAGACACCACCAGAGACATGTGTGTACTGTGAATGTGGGAAAAGATCAGACAGCTTTTGGGCAGAGTGCTGGTTGGAAAGAGGCTTGGGACTGGGAGCAAAGAAACTGATTCATGCTGTTTGAGTCCTACTCTGTTTAAGGAAACAGAACTTTGTCCATTGTTTGTAAATAAGCATGATTGCATGAAAGGTACCTGACCCTCTATCATCAATTTCTCCTCTTAACCGAAACAACCTGTCAGACCCTGAATTTTGGCTAACTGCTTGGGACAAAAGGGGCAACATTATTAATAATAAAGCTTTCGCTGTTCATTCCCTGGTCTAACCATATAATGGTGAAGCCTGCCAGTATTTCTAGTGTTCCAGTTCTTTATGCAGGTAGTGTCGCATGGAGATTTCATGAAGGCTTTAATTCAGCCTGGAACATACTGGGAGTAAGTGAAGAAGGACTAGTAAAATTACTTTTATTGTCTATTTCCAAGGAGGCTTTTAAAGATATAATGTTATTCTGTGCAAAGAGGGTGTCTATTTGTTCTGGGCCGATTCTTAATGCCATAATGCAAAATAACACATAGCTCTTACATAGCGCTTTCATGTGTAGATCTCAAAGGAGGCCAGGATCATTATCCCCATTTTACCGATGGTGAAACTGAGGCAGGGGGGAAGTGGGGTGACTTGCCTAAGGCCACACAACGAGCCAGTGGCAGAGCTGGAAACAGCCTAGAAGTCCAGCTTCCCTGGCCCGTGGTCTGTCCAGTAGGCCAGACTGTCTCCTTTAAGCTCCCTTCTGAGCAAGCCAGGAAAGGGAAGCAGTCTCCCTCCTTCATTCACGTACCATATTAGTGGGAATGTGTATCACAAAACAGTTTATTTAATGGCTGTTTAATCTATGTTGCCCAAAAGGCCAAACTCTGCTCTGTTAGCCCAGCGCTACCTTTGTACGTACACAGTGACAGAGACCACAAATTGTTATTTTAATGCAATGCGCGTTTATTGATCATTCTCTCGTCTGAGGTCTGCACCTGTTGCCATGAGCTCTGTGAATCTAGTGGGGGTTCTCTTCATGCCCAGTTGCAGAAGGAGCAGCTGGAGTCAAAGATGAGGCTGGCCTGGCAGAACTGCAGGTAGGTTTTCCTGCTCACGCAGTGGTAGAACGCGTGGTTGTTACTGGGATCTGGGTAGAGGCCATTGGCTGTGCCGGAGCAGAAGTTGCTGCATCTGGAGCTTCCGCTGGAGCTGCCGCTGCCTTTGGAAGGAGCCGCCGTGGCTGGCTGGTTAGCACTGGTACCCGGGGTGGTTGCTGGAACCTTGCAGTCTGAAAGAAAGAAATGCAAAGGGGAGGCATTAGAATGTGCTTTCTTCTAAGCGTCTGAGGCATGGCGGTAGACGTGCCTCTCGAGGAGGGAGTTAAAGGAGGGCAGGGTAGCAGCTTCACAGAGGTGTTTGGGGAGGTTTTTCCTTGCCTGGGGGATGTGGAAGCAAGTGCAAAGGTGCATGTGGGATAAGGCAGCAAGCGGGTGCGGAAGGCTGGCTTCACTGGCAGAGCAGAGGGAGCAACACAACAGGATGCGAGAGCAGATAAGAAGGTGGGGAACAGAGCTGAAAAGGGGTTTCAAGGGGAGGACAAAAAGCTTGAATTTGGTGTGGTGGAGAAGGAAGAACATTCAGAGCAGGGTGGGGCTGGCGTGGTCCGAATGACATGCCAGGAAGATGGTCTCAACAGCAGCTCTTTGAATAGACCTGAGAGGGGTGTCTGCATGGCCAAAGAGGAGGAGATTGCAGGAGGTAAGACAGGAGGAGATGCAGGCCTGGAGAAGAGTTCAGATGAATGCTGGTCATCTCACTCCATGCCTCAGGCACTGGGGTGTTACTTCCTGGGCGTGGTGACACCCAAGACAGATTTCAAGGAGTTCATCAGAGGGTATTTGCCTTCTCCACAGAATGTGCCAGTGAAGTCGTCCAGATCAATAGCCCAAACCATGGCACCTCCAAAATTGTTCTCCAACAGCCACTTTGCCTGTGAGAGAAGATTTTTAAGCAGAGTTGTAAATGCATCAGTAAAGATACTCTAAACCATGCTTTCCCTTGTGTTGAAGTTATATCTTATCTGAACGTTTCAGGGCCTCAGCCTGCAGTCTTTGCTCACATTAAAGACTGGACGTCAATGGGAGTGGATAAAGGGCTGCAAGCTAAATCTTTAAATAGCAACAGAGCTGGCATAGAACCTGATTCAAAGTCTATTCAAGACTCCCATTGACTTCAGTGGGCTTTGGGTCAGGTTCACAGCAAACTAGAGCAATACGTATTGGATGTAAATTGTGCACTTTATCCCAAGGTGTTAACACTGTATAGTGTTGGTACCCTGATCATTTCTGGCCTGAGCCTAGGAACCTGTAAGGAATATCAAGGGTCTCGGTTCACATCTAGTCCTGAGAAGCGTGATGAAACAGAGGGGAATTCACTCTTATCTCAGTCGATAGTGGGATCCTCTAGGCTGAGGAAGAAGCAATGTGGAGATCCTGTAAGACGTTAACTGGCAAGGATAGTATGGAATAGTGGCCTCTGTCCCACGCTCCAGAGAGCAGTGTAGCTCTGTAGCCCGATACAGGGATGAAAGCCCTTACCCGGAGCACAAAGAGAGGACAGACAACAGGTTTATCTTGATGGCGAAGCTCTTAGGGTTGTCATAGCCAATCCACTGATTTCCTTTGTAGGCATAAGGGACGTCCTGAGGGGCATTCCACACGATGGTGGCTCCAGTCTTCAAGAAGGTACAGACCTGGGACATAAAAGTTGTTTGTTAAGGTGGTCCAGGAAGGTCTGTGACTCTATCCTAACTGATCTAGAGGCCTATATCTGACTGTTCATTCAACTCCTTAGTCTCTTTGGACTGACCCAGCACACTGTATCCTGTAGGTCCGACCAGGCTAGTTTTAATGTTCAGGAATACCACCAGCTGCAGACATCCGCTGGAGGTCTTCCTCCTGCTGTCAAGAAGCCACTGTGATTCAGAACCTCACGTCACTAACATTGCATTAGGAAAAGGAGAGGGTCTCTTAAAAACCCTGGGCACTGCTTCCTGTCTCCAGTTCCCTGATTCCTGCTTGAACCACTAGGCCTGACTCCTGTCCCAGTCATTAGGCCTGCCCACTCACAACCTGGTTGTGACAGGGCTACAGTTTTGCAGTCTTGGTGGAATTGCAAAGGTGCAGGTGTGAATCAAGACTGAACATTATTATTTAGTAGTTGTATTGTGGTAGCGCCTTGGAGCACATTCATGGACCAGGACCCCATTGTGCTAGGTGCTGTACAAACACAAAGATGGTCCCTGCCCCAAACGACTTGCAGCCAAAGTAAATATGGTCATGGTTCCACCCAGTGAAGGTGTTACCAGTCTGCTGGCAACACTATCTGAACTCACCAGAGCAAACAACCCCTAGAGCAGCTAAGTAACATTTTTGCGATGATGGCGTAAGCTCATGTGTGTTATAAAACATAGCTGTGTCGTTCTGTTCCCAAGTGTCTCTATCAGAAATGTTGTTTTTGCAGACACGTCCTCCAGTAACAATACTGTGCGAATGCCCATAGCTAACAACCATTCCGATTTGCCACACCTGTTTTCATAGTTTTACCTCAGAGTAGGCCAGGGTCCCGGCTGACTGGATATAAGCTCCCGCGGCATGTGGGCCAGATGTTGGGGCAGCCAGGCCATGTTGGAAGGGTTGCTGAGGGTTAAGGTGTGGGCATAGGCCCCGAATCCAACCATCAGCTTCTCAGCTGGGGCACCATTGTCCTTCCAGTAGTTCATGGCATAGTCCGAGAGGAGACGGCGCAGTGAGCCAGTCAGGGAGATGTTCCCAAGCCATGGGAATCACAGAATCACGGAATTTTAGGGTTGTCAAGGTTCCTCCCCCACTCTGAACTCTAGGGTACGGATGTGGGGACCTGCATGAAAAACCTCCTAAGCTTATCTTTACCAGCTTAGGTCAAAACTTCCCCAAGGTACAAAATATTCCACCCTTTGTCCTTGGATTGGCCGCTACCACCACCAAACTAATACTGGTTACTGGGGAAGAGCTGTTTGGACGCGTCTTTCCCCCAAAAATACTTCCCAAAACCTTGCATCCCACTTCCTGGACAAGGTGTGGTAAAAAGCCTCACCAATTTGCCTAGGTGACTACAGACCCAGACCCTTGGATCTTAAGAACAATGAACAATCCTCCCAACACTTGCACCCCCCCTTTCCTGGGAAATGTTGGATAAAAAGCCTCACCAATTTGCATAGGTGACCACAGACCCAAACCCTTGGATCTGAGAACAATGAAAAAGCATTCAGTTTTCTTACAAGAAGACTTTTAATAAAAATAGAAGTAAATAGAAATAAAAAAATCCCCCCTGTAAAATCAGGATGGTAGATACCTTACAGGGTAATTAGATTCAAAACATAGAGAACCCCTCTAGGCAAAACCTTAAGTTACAAAAAAGATACACAGACAGAAATAGTTATTCTATTCAGCACAGTTCTTTTCTCAGCCGTTTAAAGAAATCATAATCTAACACGTACCTAGCTAGATTACTTACTAAAAGTTCTAAGACTCCATTCCTGGTCTATCCCCGGCAAAGACAGAATATAGACAGACACACAGACCCTTTGTTTCTCTTCCTCCTCCCAGCTTTTGAAAGTATCTTGTCTCCTCATTGGTCATTTTGGTCAGGTGCCAGCGAGGTTACCTTTAGCTTCTTAACCCTTTAAAGGTGAGAGGAGCTTTCCCCTGGCCAGGAGGGATTTCAACGGGGTTTACCCTTCCCTTTATATTTATGACAAGGGTTCTGAAGGGAGACCCAGCCAGAAGATGATGGTTGGCTCCTGGTGGTTGGAAGATTCCCCGGGCTCCAACACGGGGGTGGAGGAAGGATGGAAGGCAGGAAAAATGGGGGAATAACCAACTCTACAATAACACTGGTCAAAAATTTTCAGATGGAACGTTTTTCTGTCAGATCATGCCATTTCATCAAAATCAAAGCTTTCTGTGGGAACATGTCAATTTTGGTGAAATTCCATTTGGAAAAGTCATGTTTTGAGCTTATCAGAGTGAAATGTTTCAATTTTTCATTTCAAAATGACTGAAAAAAGTCAAAAATAGAATAAAATGTTTTGATTTTATTTAAAAAACACAATGTTTCGAGTGACCTGACATGAAATTTTTAAACAAATTTCGTTTCATGGAAATTTTAATTTCCTTTTTATTTTTTTCCCCACAATTCAGAATGAAAACAAATATTAAAAATGCCAGAATTTCCCGCAAAATGGAAATTCTGAATTTGACCAACTCTGATCTGCAGCCACAGTTATCACTTTCAGTGAGCATGTGTAAGGGTTTTCATGTGCCTGATGCAGGAAACTGAGTGAATGTCAACCCAGCTATCCAGCGTGGCTCTCAGCTAAAGCAGCAAATGCTAATATGAGTTATTCCAGAAACATGGCTCCCCATCTTTTGCCTAATGTATGAGTCCTTATGTGAATCTATCTTATCTATCTCATGTTGCAAGAAAATAAAACGTTGTCCATTTACTTCTAAAGAGCCGTTCAGTGCAATATCATGATGCTTGGCAGAATTTGATATTTTAAAAATCATTTTGATATATAATCAACTTTTATTTTAAGCATTTTTTTCTATTTTTATCTATTTACATTTTCACAGTAGTGCAAAATTATAGGGTTTAAGCATTTTTTATTTGTACTGATTTAAATTTTCACAGTTGTGGGAAGTTATGGGAGGTCAGACAATGATTATTTAATAACAGCTGATGCTGAGTACTAGGGTGGTGGCATTTTCCATTTACATTGGTGTTGCAATACATTGGTTTTCTCCAAGCCTGGAGTAGTGAGTATAGTTGGGTATATGGACTGTGCCCATTGAAAGTCTAAGGGGCACACATGGCATAACTCCCACTCAGCAGATCCACTGGCAACCAGAAGAGGTTAATATGACACAGAGTTTCCTCCAGGTGAATTATAGTTTACTAGTGGGTGACTGCTCCATAGGTCTTTGATATATTGAAAACAGAGAGCCATATCCTGGCTTTTACCAGTAGCCTGCTAATAGGGTGACCAGATGTCCCGATTTTATAGGGACAGTCCCGATATTTGGAGCTTTGTCTTGTATAGGCCCCAATTACCTCCCCACCCCGTCCTGATTTTTCGCACTTGCTGTCTGGTCACCCTACCTGCTAACTGCTTACCCCCTGTAGCTCTAAAAGGAGACTGATTAGCCACTGCTTTCAGTGGAATCGGTACCGGGGAACATAAACCGCCAACATTCCTTTGCCTTTGGAAATCTCTTCCCAAGCATTCACTGACTGGACCAAGATAAGATTATGCTGAAGACCTTGATAAGATACAGTTATGGGCCAGCTGTGGAATAACCCCAATTTGCAGAGAGGTGATGAAGCTTATCGGGGGGTGAATAATAATAATGGGGCTTGGGATGTGATAATCAGACTGCTGCAGCCCTTAATGAGCTTGTGTTTACAGAGCTGGAGGTTCCTGCTCCATTTACAATTGATTTGTGTGCTTTTCTGTGTTAGAGGCTTGAGGTGGACATTTCACCCACCATTATTTCTGAGGAAGAATTTGGGGGGTGGGGGGTGGGAAGTCCATCTCCTTTCCTATTGCTTCATTTAAACAGTTTTCACTCCTACTGGTTTGGTTCACTTGGGTGACACAATACGCAGTGTAAGGTGAAAAAGGGTGAGGAGCGTGTTTGTGGTGCTCTCTGCCTTGGGCAATTCTGAGGTGAAGGGGCCCTGTTGGCCATGGCTTTATTACAAAATGAGAGGAGAGGAAACCATTAGTGGATGTGCTGGTGAAAGAGAGCGGGTCTGCCACACATGAGTGTTATTTTTGAGCTGCATGAATGTTCCCCAGCATGTCTTCAAACCCTTTCCCCATCCAAAGAAAGAAAGCGAGATGTCTTCCTCGTAGTGCATTCATAGCTTCACACTCTGTCGACTCAATTGCCGGAGCTCAGCTTTGCTTTCACAGTTCCTATTAGAGGATATGTTTTTTTCTGGTTGCAGAACAAGCCAGAAAAGTCATCCAGGTCCACTGCCCAAATCATGGCACCTCCCAACTTGTTGTTCTTCAAATACTGATCCTTACAGAGGGGGCAGGGAGAAAACCCGTGAAGAACCTGATTAGGTGCAAAAAGAACACGAGTACTTGTGGCACTGTAGAGACTAACAAATTTATTTGCACATAAGCTTTCGTGGGCTACAGCCCACTTCATCGGATACATAGAATGGAACATATAGTAAGAAGATATATATATACACATACAGAGAACATAGCCTCTTATTCCACCTTTTCATGTTCTCTGTATGTGTGTGTATATATATATATATATATATATATATTCTTACTATATGTTCCATTCTATGTATCCGATGAAGTGGGCTGTAGCCCACGAAAGCTTATGTTCAAATAAATTTGTTAGTCTCTAAGGTGCCACAAGTACTCGTGTTCTTTTTGAGGATACAGACTAATACGGCTGCTACTCTGAAACCTGATTAGGTGCAGGTGAGACACAATATTTGGACCCCTCTGCGCTATGGGTGAAATCCACCAGCCCCAGGCCTATGCAACTCTCAAGCAGGGGCATCATTTGCTATGGGGCAATGGGGGCCGTTGCCCTCCCCCCAGATCTTGGTTTGCCCACCTCCCAGACTTTTCATAGGTCCATATGCTCCATTCCCCCGGCCCTTGCTGGATATAATACAATCACATATAATGCTCTATATGCTGACACAACTCTTCCCATCCCCCAGCCTTACCCCCTCGCCCGGAATTTTTCTGAAATGACACCCCTGCTGTCAAGTCCTACTTCAGTCTTATTTTGGGAGCTCCAATGAGAGTTAAATGTTAAGCCTCATGCTGGCTCTGTGCACTGGGAGGTATTCCCCCCCCCATCCCGTTTTCCTCTTTGAACATGAACCTTTTCTCTTTCCCAAGGCGGGAAGCTGGTCCACTGGCTGCACTTCACTGGCAATGTATATTGTTGCCCAGGGTATAGCGTGTGTCATTGTGCAGGGGTAAGGAGGTGAAGGAGTGATGGAGTAATCTCCTCCATGAGCACTTTTCTAGTGAATTCCTGTGTCAAAGGGTGTCCTGCCCCTTGATGGGCTGAACGGCTGGGGCCAGCCAGCGGTGCTCATTAAGCAGGTGCAGCTGCAGAGGGGACAGGTGTTCCCTATAAAAATCTGGATGTCAGTGAGGAAGGGGGATTAGGAGTGGCATGGAGTTCCCTGGGAGGGGAGGCAGTGGGAACCGGCTAGGGAAACAGGGCCTCCAGGGAGAAAGCCCTGGGATGGGGAGGTAGGCAGGGAAGAATCCTGTAGAAGGCCATGAAGCAGGAGGGACTAAGAGGGGGAAAGGGGAAAAGCCCCTGGGTGCTGTATGGGCTGAGGAATTGTTTTTGTGCTTGTCACCTATGTTTGGTAAATAGAACTGTGCCTAGAAAGAGATGCTGGGTTTGGCAGTGGGTCCTTGGTGGGCGGGGGACGAGCCAGCATTTTGCGCCCCTCGAGCTGATGCATTCCACAACTGTTCTCCCATTGCATTTTTATAACCCCAACAGAGACGTGGCAGGGAGTGCCTTGGTAGGATCCAGATGTGGATCCAGGTGTGTCTGACTCCATCAGCAGCTAGAAAAACCAACCCAACCCTCCCTTCAATTTGGTGATGGGTTTTTAACCAGAGCCTGGAATAGATCACTGTAGAGAGGGCATGGGGGAGGAGGGGTCACAATCGTAAGAAGAGCAGATTTTACCCTGCTCCTCCTTAAACACACTTACTTTGGTTATAATGCTTTGCTCGTCATCATACCCTGCCCACTGGTTTCCTTCGTAGGAATATGGGACCTCTTGCTCCACAATCCGCTCGGTGGTGGCACCTGGTGTAAAAGTACAGATCTAAAAAACAAACAAAACCACACCACCAGTTGCAGACCGGAGAACAATGTCATTGCTGGGTCACTCTCAAGGTGTTGTTGGAAAGCCTGACGGTCACCCGGAAACGACAGCCATGAAGGTTTAAGATATTCACATTGCATAAGGATGATTTCCTGGGTGCGAGGGCAAAACCTTGTGAATTAATCCCAACGGCCGGTCCCAATAGAAAGAGAGACACTGATTCAGCTGCATCCCCAAATCAGGGCAAGATTAAATAGAGCAGCATCCTCCCTACCTCAGAATAGGCCAATAATCCTGCCTTTTGAGTGAATGGGATGGGTAATCCAGGCCCAGAGACGGGCACGCTGATGCCTGTCTTGGAGGAGAGGGTGAACGACCGTCCATAGGTGGGGATTCCCATGATGAGCTTCTCAGTTGGGGCACCCTTGCTCCTCCAGTATCTCACAGCATAGTCCTGTGGGAGGGGGTATGACATATGGTTTATAATATATTATGCACCGTAAACTGAATTTACAGTAGGGTAGCATTGCTGGCATTTGCTTAATGATTGGCTTCTTATTCTGCTATGGAAAACCTAATCCTACAATCAGAGCTCTATGACAGCTTGCATCTTAATATTTCTGGGCATGGATCTTCTTAATGGTGGCAAACGGTTCTGTGGTCTGGGAGCACATTCCCTACAGGCTGAAGTGGCAAAGGGTTTCCTCTGCAGAGAGAATCCCACTGTCTCGTGCACCAGTTTGGTCTTTTTGTGCTGTGTATTTGCATGGCTAATTACTCATCCAGCATGTGCAAACTCATCAACTTTGCATCAGCCAATTTTGCACGTGTCTTTTTGATGGGTCACTGAACATTTGCCCCTAGATGTTAATTCCACTCTGTAATGTTAATGTGATTTCTGGTTACTGGAGATAAAGAACTGTTCTGCAGATGGGTGTCTACACCCATGGAGATGGCACAAACAAATGGAGAATTTCCTCATTCATTTCTATTTGCTTGGGGTTGTGACACACAGAGTCCTAAGGATTTTAGAAGGGGATAGTCTCATAAATGTTGATTTATTGTTGGAACACTGATCACTCACATTCCTGATCCCTCAACCCCATGATCCATTTGTTATGGTACCAGAAATCTCCCATGAAATTCATAAGTTGACACTTACAACATTACAGTAAGAAGAGGATTTGGAGTTTTCTTTACCCTGGAGAAATGGGCTGACATGTCCTGTGACTTTTTGCCAGGAACCATGGAAGTCAAAGGTCAAGAGGTTAAGGAAATCTACAGCCCTGCAGAGGAGAGCACAGAATGAGAAGGTGTCCTGGGGAACGGGTGCAAATGCAAAGCATCTTGGATCATGGCTGAACATGTGGATTAATTACTCTGTGCAGAATCCAAGTGCGGCTGTGTGCACTCACTCTGAGATTTTGTCGATTTCATAGCTTGCCTCGATTAGTGCCCTCACAGCTCCCACTGTTGCACTCAGTATGAGCTTCTGCTTCCCTGTCTTTTGAGCTTTCTCCTGAAATGCTTTTGCCAGCTCCTCCAAGACATTTCATGATATGGGATGGGCTGGGTGCAATTGCTCTGTTTGTGATGGCCCAGAGAATGGAGGTTCACGGTGTCAATATCTGGGTTCTTCGACCTTCCTTTTATGGATCTGGCTGTTACACCCACCCCAATTTACAGGAACTCAGCAGCCATGAAATAAAATAGGAGAGACAAGTTCTTCCTCTTTGCTAGGAAGGGATTTTCCGATGTGGGAATGACTGCGCAATCTCCTTTCTGGATGGGTGGAGCTGTTCCCGTTCTCCACATGCCTTTTGGGAAGTCACTCCCATAGGAAAAACCTGAAACACTGGTTACCTTGCAGATCAGCACCTTGCCTTGAGGGCACATTGTTAATCAGTAGCAGAGCTACAAACAGAAGCCAGGAGTGCTGATTCCACACTCCCCCGCTGTAACCACTACACAATATTCCCTGCACCGGATGCATTTGTTCACTGTTCTCATCAACACTTTTCACTGTATATAATATTACACGTAAAAAATACATCAAAAGTATCCTAAGGTTGCAAAGTCAAGCACTCAAAAGTTAGGAAATGTCAGAATTAAGGTGGACCTGGCAACCTTAACTCTGCCCTCTTGTGTGTATGCATTACGCTATAATCCTCAATTATATGATCACATATATTTCCCCCCCTGCCTCACTGAGTACACAGGATGAATGGTGCTCACTGAATGCCCAGCTAGTCAACATTTTGTTTTCTCCTCCTTACTCAGCATGTAGCCTGAAGCCTTGTTTACTTACCTTGCTCTGAATAGAGAATTATTAATTTCCTCATGGCCTTTTCTATGGTGTTCATCATGATAATATCTGAGAATGTCACAAACATTACCTGATTGATTTTCACAATACCCTGTGCAGCGAGGGGATACTGTTATCCCTGATTTATAGGTCTGGAAATGAGGCACCGAGAAATTAAGATCAAAAGTGCCCATTAATTTTGGATGACCTACTTGAGGCGCATGACGCCTGATACGTCAGAGTACGTAGCATTAAATAGCACTTTGCATTCTCAAAGCACAGCTCCCAGTGACTTCAATGGCAGCTGGGAATGCTTGCTCCCAAGGTCTCAAGTTGGGCATCCAGAACACACCGTTAACGGACGTGTGGAAAGTTCAGTTTAAGGGAGTTGCCCAGCAACTTATGGGAACTCTGTGGCAGAAGCAGGGATAGGACCCAATTCTGCAAGGCAGCATGCAGTTGCCTTCATCATGAGACCCTCTTTTCTCATCTTGCAGTCCCCTGCCTCATCTATTGCACACCGTCTGACTTCTACAACAAAGGAGGCAGGGTTTCTACAGGCATCAGCCCCCTTCACTACACACCCCCAGAGCAGATCTATCCTGTGCACTGAATGAGGCAGAGGTCCAGTGGAAAATATAGTAGGTAAGCATGTCATTAAAGACTTATCGTACATACGAGGGGGCCAAATTAAGGGCGCAGCGGTTGACCTTGGAGAAGTATAATGGAGCCCTGAAGGTCCCAGGGGTCCTCACTGTTAAGTAATTTGGACGGTAACATCTTTGGAATAGGAACTAGAGCTGAGCAGGAACCAGAATTTCTGGACCGTGAACGAATCAAAGAAGGTTTGCTCAGAACTGTAACAAAACGTCAGATATGGAAAAATTTTCACTGAATGGATATTTAAAAAATATTCTGTCTGTCCAGCCAGCTCCCTGCCTCTCCTGCAGCCTACGTGACCAGCTGCTAGGGAGCCAGTGCCCAGTATATCCCAGCCATCCTACAGCCCCGGGCCAGCTGTAGTAGGGACCATGTCTATGTCTACTGTAGTACAGCTCCTAGCACAATACCATAACATAGATATTTATTAATGTCACCCTAAGAGAGTCCTCTGTTAGGACCTTTGCAAATCCAAACTGCTGTCAGCAAATGCCAAAGGCACTGACGGTCTTCACATGGTATTTTCTTTACCCCACATAGGTATATAGGGTAATATAGGGGCATATTAGTAAGATCCCTCGGGAAAATTAAGTTAGAGGCTGTTTCTTTGTTAAATCCGTTGGGGATTATTTACCAAGGGGAATCTTTACTGTGGAGATCTTAGGGCACGATTCCAAACTCAGGAGCTGCTGTCCTCTCAAGTCAGAGTGCCAGCTGACAGATGTTAAGACACTGCAATAATTCCAGTTCTCCTGGAATAATGGAACAACAAAACTAGATTTTTTTCAGATAATTTTCTCTGCTGGTGTAAATGGACACAGTACCTTGAAGTTAATGGAGCACTGCTGCTGTTTGCCAGCTGAGAATCTGGCCCTTCTTATCTAACTGGCTATCTGGATGCGTAAATAACCACACTGGGAGTGTAGTCATGGCAGTGACATATGTAAATTAGGTGCACACACTCACACACACTTCAGCTAGTGCAATTACGCATCAACTTTTCTGGAAATCTGGCCCAGCATTTCATATTTCTATGCAAGGTGACTAGAATGCAGAGCATGAAGTCTAAAATATCAGACAATAATCATCACTAAGTGGTTTGGTTCATTTGAAGACTCAGCTTATTTCTTGAGAGAAAGGATCGGAAGTTTCTTCACACCATCCTATACTGCCAACCTGTGGAACCAGGAATTTTGTCTGGAAGTCCTTTAGGGGATCCAATATTAGACAGAAAGTCTTCGACCCATCTTCTCAAGGGGTGGGTGCTTAGAAAAAGAAATTTTATCTGCAGCTTTTAGGATGAGACTGAGAATGCCGGTTTTGTTACCTTCTCAAGGAACAGCTTCAGCTTGCAGATTTCAAAGAGTCCACTGCACGCATCTGATGAAGTGGGCTTTAGCCCAAGAAAGCTTATGCTCAGATATATTTGTTAGTCTCTAAGGTGCCACAAGTACTCATCGTTCTTTTTATAGTAATTCTAGTTCTCTTGTATTTAGGCGTCCATGGAGACCTTCAGCAGCTAAATCAAGTCTATTGTTCTCAGACCTTTAATTACTAACTAAAGAGCTGTGCTTGTTTACTTAGTTTGTGAGCTCATCTTGAGAGGGAATTGAACAAAGCTTTATGCTAGATTTCATACAGGGTCCTGCAAATGACAGGGCAAGACACCCATAAGAAATTACAGAGGAAAGTAGGGCTGGAATCCCATATCTGTCCACTCCATCACACCCTACTAAAAGCAGTTATAATTTCTCTGCGAGTATCTGCTTGTTGACTGTTGCTCCCCTGGCCTGATCTTGGAGGGTTTGTAGTTTTGGGTAACATATAATTCTTTGCTAAGCATGCTTAGCACATTATGAAGTCTGTGACAGCAAGTAGGAGAACACACATAATTGGATTTTTAGGCTTTTCTATGGTTAAAGGCTAGTTTTTTTTAGTGGGAGGCCTTGTGGGAGTAGTCATACCAAAGGCTGAATCTTAGCTAAATGCTGGTAGGCCCAAGAAGATAAGCCCAGATCACAAATTCTGAACTTTCATTACGAGACACAAACAAGTAACCATGAAAAATACAGTACACCACAGAATTCTGCAAGAAGGGAGTATGTGTGTGTGTGTCGCGGGGCGGGGGGTGCCTTTAGCAATCCGGTAATAAGACAGTAACTGGGTAGTTAGACCACAATAACATATAGGAGTTATTAAGAAATGAGTGATGTAGTTTAGCAATATTCACGATTAAAGGCATAGCAATGGAAAGCCGGAACGCCGTATGTGGATAATGGGCAGGTATCAATCTTGTTATGGTCATGGAAATTGATCAGCTGTGGTTGTGTATCTGATAATGTAGATAAAGGAGTATGGTATTTTCTGTATTATTAGAGCTAGTGGCTAGAGTCTATAGAATGGTTATCAAAAAATGAAAGGCCACCAAGAGTATGTCTACACTGCAGTTAGATACCCGTGACTGGTTCGTGCCAGCTGACTTGGGTTCAAGGGGCGCAGGCTAAGGAGATGTTTAATTGCCATGTAGACTTCCGGGCTCAGGCTGGAGCTTTGGCTGCAGGACCCTGTGAGGTGGGGGGGTCCCAGAGTTTGGGCTGCAGCCCGAACACTGCGAGCCAGAGTCAGCTGGTGTGGGTCAACGACAGGTTTTTAATTGCAATGTAGACATACCCTAAGTGTTCTAAGTCCCATAAATCATGAACAGCTTGCTTGTCTAATTAACCTCATGCATTCCCAAAGAGATTCTCTTCTGCCCTAAGACAATCAAAGTGTGAAAAATGTCAAGCCAAAAATAGTTTGTTTGGGTGTGTGTGTGTGTATGTGTGTGAGAAATGTAAAAGCCAGGATGCTCTATATGGCTGAAATGAATGTTTCCTTTACTTAATGGAAATGAGTTTAAGGTTCATTGGTACCCCTGTATTTTATGAGCAGCATAGATGTCTTGACCCCATCCCCAGCCAAAATCCCACAATCCCCACATCCTGCTCAGGTGTCACAGCACTTACAAAGACGGTCATTAGCATCATTATCCCAATTTTCAGATGGGGAAACTGAGGCACGGATCAGCTAAGTGACTTGCCCAGCCTCACCCAGCAGCCCAGTGGCAGGGCAGGGAATAGAACCATGCCACTGTGTCTGCTTCATTGGGGCATTACGGGGATTGAACTGGGTGATGTAGATTGAGGTCTGCTGGTGTGCACGAGTACGGGCATCAGCTCGCTGATACAAGCCTGTGTGGGAATCTGCCCTTTGAATCAGAGACAGATCTGAACCAGATCATCTGATCCAATACTCTCCCCTCTGAAATTCACATCTGACCCACATTTTGGCTCTGGCCCATATCTACTCTCATCTGTCACTTCGACCAGTGGTTCTCAACCAGGGGTACATGTACCTCTGGGGGTACACAGAGCTCTTCCAGGGGGTACATCACCTAATCTAGATATTTGCTTAGTTTTACAACAGGCTACATAAAAAGCACTAGCGAAGTCAGTACAAGCCAAAATTTCATACAGACAATGACTCGTTTATCCTGCTCTGTATACTACACACTGCAATGCAAGTACAATATTTATATTCCAACTGGTTTATTTTATAATGATATGGTAATCAAAAAGTCAGCAATTTTTCAGTACTAGCGTGCTGTGACACTTTTGTATTTTTATGTCTGATTTTGTAAACAAGTAGTTTTTAATTGAGGTGAAACTTGGGGGTACGCAAGACAAATCAGACTCCTGAAGGCGGTACAGTCGTCTGGAAAGGTCGAGAGAGCCACTGACTTAGAAAATACTATTTCTTTAATTTACTTTTCACTTGGGTGTGTGTCTCTGTGTGTTCACACAGGCTGGAAGTGACCCTAATGGAAGACACCTGGGATAACTCTCATTACCTTCCCCAGCTGTAAAGGGATGAGTGAGGAAGCATCTTGCAAGCAGTGATCGGTGGAGAAGGTGGGTGTGTGAAATCAGAAGCCCTTAAAGACTGCATGTGGGAGTTGTGGGGTATTTATTTGGGAAGGGTCTTTCCCCCCTTTCTTTATTTCCCACACAGGCACTCTGCTAGGGAAATTTAGGGAGAGAGGTTGGAGCTGTGTTGCCCACAGCAAAATGGAATGCAGTTTAATGTAGGAGAAAGCAGGCTGATCTTTATTCTCTGCATTGCCAACAGGCATTTTCTTTCTAAATGTTATGCACTGTATGCATCCGATGAAGTGAGCTGTAGCTCACGAAAGCTTATGCTCAAATAAATTTGTTAGTCTCTTTGTTACTCCTGTTCTTTTTGCGGATACAGACTAACACGGCTGCTACTCTGAAACATGCACTGATTTGTAAGTCTAGATGCTTACTCAGTATTTGGCTGGCCAGAGGCCTTTTTCCTCTTAAGTCATGGGGTGGGGAACTGTAGGCAAAACTCACAATCCTATAAAATCACTCGAAACCAATACATCTAAAGCTTCTAACAAAGAGAACAAGGATGATGTGGCGGCTAATATGCAGGGCGGAGAGTCAGAAACTAGGTCTACTTAGGGTCATTGAAAAAGTAAGGGGATAGCACAGAGTGGCT